CATCAGACAGGCTTTGGTTGGCGTCAAGAACAAGCTAGGCATTAGAGATCGGATACGGGAAAAAACAAAAGGGGCCCCGAACAAAGACAAACCGACGTCATGGCAATTCCCAACAACCAAAGATTAATCTCTACCCTATATATGGTGAAATTTTGATTTTTGGTAGTGAAATGAGACTATTTTTGCCATATACGTCTTTGAGATTCTTTGCTGAAAATGGGTTCGAGGAAACCTGAAGTATGAAGGAAGCCTTTGACAAATCCCAAAAAAGAACCAATTAAAAGAGTCAAAAGGAAGTAAGGTATTCAAAGAGCTCTCTCTTCTTATTCAACAAGCAGTTTACAGAAGCAATCTTTCCAAGACTTATCAATGTAACAAAAGCTAAGGAGGCATAAGGATATTCTTCCAAAAAAGAGTATAGAGGCAACTTGAAGGTAGAACCATAAAACTTAATCATGTGAAAAGAGATTTTGAAAATTTAAAGATAAAGGATATTTGAAATTGTTGAAGGATTATTTTTCTAGGTTATGAAACTTGTAAACCAAATAAAAATTTATGGGGGATAATATTACTAATCAAAGAGTTGTTGAGAAATTTTGATAAGTTTGCTAGAGAAATACAGATTCCTATTGTTGCTGTCATTGAAGAAACTAAAAGATCTTGCTGATTTGAGTATTGAAGATTTGAGTGGGTTTCAATTAAAACATTTGAGCAAAAAAGTTGAGGTTGAGTAGGCAATCTGAAAAGTCAATTGAAAGTGCCTTTCAATCCAAGCTCAATGTTAGTACCTCTAATTCCCAAAGAAGAGGAAGAGGAGGAGGAAGAAATGCAACTGGAAGAGTAAGAAATGCAAGAGGAAGAGGAAGGTCTAATTTTCAAAGAAAGGAAAATGAAGAGTCCACTCAACAAAAGTGTGGAATTTGCAACCGAAGCAATCATGTTGATAAAGATTGTTGGTTTTGTGGAAAGCCAAAATGTTACAATTGCAACAAATTTGGGCATGTCAAGAGGGATTGCCAAGTCAAGAGCACTTAACAAGCTAATTTTTCCGAGGAGCAAGAAAATGAAGGGCACATGTTCTATGCTTGTCACAAGGCATCAGATCAAAACAAGGATGTATGGTTTCTCGATAGCAGATGTAGCAATCACATGACAGGAGATGAGAGCATTTTTGTGAAAATAGATGCTTCCTTCAGTTCTCAAGTAAAAATGGGGAATGGTGCCTTAGTCCAAACAAAAGGAAAAGGTACTATGGCTATAGAAACCAAGATGGGTACAAGATTTATTTCCGATGTTCTCCTAGTTCCAGACTTGGAGCAAAATTTGCTCAGTGTTGGACAACTTATAGAGCATGGATATCTTGTTCACTTTGAAGACGATTTTTGCAAAATTTTTGACAAAGGGAGGAAAAGCCAAGTTGTAGCAAAAATCAAGATGGAGAAGAATAGAAGTTTTCCTCTCATTTTTCGGTATAGCAAAAATGCGGCTTTGAAGATGGATGTGATTGATAATTCATGGCTTTGGCATAGAAGATTTGGGCACTTAAATTTTCAAAGCTTGAAACATCTACAACAAAAGAATATGGTTTTTGGGTTGCCGACCATTCATAAAGTGCAACATATTTGTGAAGGTTGTGTACTTGGAAAGCATCACCGGGAGTCATTTCCAAAGGAGAAAGCATGGAGAGCTAAAGCACCATTGGAGCTTGTCCATACCGATGTGTGCGGACCCATGGATACACCAACTCATAGAGGTAACAAGTACTTCATTATCTTTGTTGATGATTTTACTAGAATGACTTGGTGTATTTCATGAGACAAAAGAGTGAAGTTTTTTCTATCTTCAAGAAATTTCAAAATCTTGTTAAAAGACAAAGTGGTTGTTTGATGAAAGTATTGAGAAGTGATAGAGGCAGAGAATACAACTCAAATGAATTTATGAAATTTTGTGAAGATATTGGAATGGAAAGGCAATTGACTGTTGAGTACACTCTACAACAAAATGGTGTGGCATAAAGGAAGAATCAAACCATAGAGGAGATGTCCAAGTTTATGCTACATGAGAAGGGGCTACCCAAAACTTTTTGGGGTGAGGCCGTGTATACAGCTGTTTACTTGATGAATAGATGTCCTACAAAAGCTCTTAAGGACAAAACTCCATTTGAAGTTTGGAGTGGAAGGAAACCATCGGTGAATCACTTGAAGGTGTTTGGTTGTATTTGTTATGCTCATGTTCCAAAAAAAGTGAGACACAAGCTTAATGAAAATAGTAAGAAAGGCATTTTTGTGGGTTATAGCTCGAAATCCAAAGGCTATAGACTCTTCAGTTTGGATCAAAAAAATGTGATTATTTGTAGAGATGTTCTCTTTGATGAGAAGGTGTCTTTTGATTGGAAGGAAAAGAAAGTCCAAGATCAAAGCATTGCTTTCAACGAAGAATTGGAAAGTCCACAAGTTGAAGATGTTGCAAGTCTTGAATCTCCACAAAGAGTGTCACCAATTGCTAGTTCACAATCTTCTCTAAGTTCAAGTTCAAGTTTAAGTTCTTCATCTCCGAGTTCAACTCCGAGAAATATAAGGAGTCTTAGTGATGTGTATGCAAGATGCAATTTATGCATTGTTGAACCTGAAAATTTTGAAGAGACAATTAGAGATGAAGCATGGAAGAAAGCTATGGAAGATGAAATTCATGTGATTGAGAAGAACAAGACTTAGGAGTTAGTGGAGAAACCGAAAGAAAAAGAAATAATTGGTGTGAAGTGGATTTTCAAAACAAAGTTCAATCTAGATGGCTCTATTCAAAAGAACAAAGCAAGATTTGTAGCAAAAGGGTATTCACAACAACCTGGAATTGATTTCCAAAAAACTTTTGCTCTTGTGGCTCGACTTGATACAATTAGAGCTATCATTGCTTTGGCGGCTCAAAAGGGTTGGTTCTTGCACCAACTTGATGTAAAATTAGTATTTTTGAATGGAAAATTAGAAGAAGAGGTGTATGTTGATCAACCTCAAGGCTTTGTTGTCAAAGGCAAAGAAGATAAAGTGTACAAGTTGAAGAAGCCTTTATATGGCTTAAAGCAAGCACCCCGGGCATAGTATAGTGAAATTGATGCTTACTTCAATGAAAAGGGTTTTCAAAGAAGCAAAAGTGAGCCAACTTTGTACATCAAGAGGCAAGGTACAACCGGTATTCTCATTGTTTCACTTTATGTTGATGATTTGGTTTTTACCGGTAGTGATGAAAACTTGATTGGAGATTTTAAAAGGGAGATGATGAAGAAATATGAAATGAGTGATTTGGGGCTATTGCATCAATTTTTAGGCATTGAAATCCACCAAAACAATGGTGGTGTTTTTATTTGCCAAAAGAAGTATGCTCAAACACTTCTTGAGAAATTTAAAATGAAGAATTGCAAAGCAGTTACTACTTCCTTGATTGTGAATGAAAAGTTGTCAAAGGAAGATGGAAGCAAAGAAGCTGAAGCATTTTGTTATAGAAGTTTGGTTGGAAGTTTGTTGTACTTAACTGCTACAAGACCGGACATCATGTATGCTACAAGTTTATTGTCTCGGTTCATGCACAGTCCAAGCCAAATTCATTTTGGGGTTGCAAAAAGAGTGTTGAGATACATTCAAGGTACACTTGATTATGGAATTTTTTATGAGAAATTTCTTGATGCAAAGTTAATTGGATTTTGTGATAGTGATTGGGCCGGAAGTGTTGATGATATGAAAAGCACTTCTGGGTATGCATTTTTTCTTGGATTGGGTGTAATTTCATGGTCATCTAAGAAATAACAAACTATGGCACAATCATCTACTGAGGCTGAATATATTTCAGCATCATTGGCAACTACACAAGCAATTTGGCTAAGAAGAATTTTGGATGATTTTGGTGAGAAGCAAGGTGAAGCTACTCCAATTATGTATGATAAAGCTACTCCAATTATGTGTGATAACAAGTCTGCTATTGCTATGACAAAGAATCGCGTCTACCATTCTCGTACCAAACACATTGCTATCAAACATCATTTCATTAGAGAAGCTGTGGAAGATGATGAGATTCAAATCAAGTATTGCAAGAGTGAAGATCAAGTTGCAGACATCTTCACCAAAGCTCTACCAAAGGACAAGTTTGAATTTTTTAGAGAAATGTTGGGTGTCACACAATGTGGCATTAAAGGGGAGGGTTAAAATTAATGTCATATTTACATTAGATACATTGGATATATTGCATACATTGGATATATTGAGTTCATACATTCTTTGTATTCATGTATTTTTATATTCATGTATTTTATATTTATTAAGTACATTGTCTAGATTATATTCATGTACCTAATTAATTGCAAGGTTGTTTAGGTTCATGGATCTTATTCATTGAACTTATGTATAACATTCTCTATATAAAAGGATGTAAGCCTATGGGCAAAATATATGAATAATAAGATAGAAAAATTCAATACAAAATAATAGTTCATTCTAGAGAGAGTTTTATCAAAAGCTAACACTTTAGTCATTTGAATGGTCATTGCATCTACCCAATTCTGTGTTTTGAAGTCTAAGATACTGAGTGTGATTTTTACACTCGCACATAGGTTCCATTGTTGGAGTGGTTTGTTCTGTAGAGAAAAGAGATACTAGGAGTTTGAATTCACTATTCGAATTTAGTTTTGAAACTCGTGTCCAATCACTTAAATCTTAGGAAAACCCACTTTTTCCTTCATTTTTTCATCTCTCTCTCTCTCTCTACACTCCACTTTTCTCTTTTTCTTATCTCTCTCTAAAGAAACTCTCACCAACCCTCATAAATCCTTCCATCCACCAAAATTCGTTGATTTTCTTGACCCTTGTTCTTGAGATCATTTTGGAGAGCATCCCGAGGAGGGCGTTTTTGTGTGATGGAGATCGGATTTTGGCATTGTGGAAAATTTAGGGCTTTTCATCGTTTCCTCTCCTATACTTGATGTATGTATTTTAGTTTTATTATGTGTTATTTTGATAATATAACACTTGAAAAGATTAGGGTTTCTATTAAAGATATGTTTAAAGTAAAACAAAGGAAGATTCAAAATTTTTTTGAAGGTTCTTGTTAGTTGAGTATGGTTGTGTGTAACTCATGGGTTTTGATGAAAAATATCTTTAAAATGAGAAATCCCAAAATTTTGATAAAATCCTAGAAATTTAAAATGTTGAAATTAAGATTTTGGCTAAGTTATGAGAAACTTATAAGTGTTGAAAAACAAGTGTTTATTGAACAAATGAGACCTTGGAAGTATATGTTCAAAATAGATGAAATTGTTGTTGGGGATATTGGAATTCCTTTTGGAAATTGTTTATATGAAAGTATTGAATTCTTGAGAAAGAATAAAGAATGCCTAATGTTGATGTTGTTGATTATGCTCTTGTTATATATTGTCCAATTTGGAATATATTGAATAGAGATAATTGTTTGTCAACCGGTAGAGAGTTGTATTGATTTGTTGTAGAACTCGCATGTGAAATCATGATATTTAAAAATTCATGCATGCATTGAACATTGCATAATTCATGGTCAAACCCTCTTGTTGGAAATTGAGATTTTGATTTTCAAATTGATTCATAGAGAATATTTGAATGTGTTAAGTAATGAGGTAAATACCATATTTATTTTTCGTGATTTTTTCTTTGTTTATTCCTTTTTGGCCTTTCAATCAAACACCGAAATCACATAAAATATTTGATTGACTTTTTTTCCCTTTGTTTATTGCTAGATTTTGATTTTGTGCTTTGTGATTTTTGATTTGCAGTTAGTAACATTACATTAAAGATTGAATATGAGTTTATAATTCTACATTGATTGTCAGGTAAATCTATATATTTTGAGTTTCAATTTTCATTTTTGGTTGTTGATTATGAGTTGTTCATTATTCTGGATTAATTTTTTATGCTATGGATGAGTTGTTTATTGTTCCTGAATTCATTGTTGATTATGAATTGTTGTTGGATTATTAGATTGAATATAGAACCAATTTTTCTATAATATATCAAAATCATACAGATTTGTTTTTATCACAAAGAAATTTCTTTGTCGTAGATCTTACATTATTGGAGAATGCACACATTTTTTTTTTTTTTTTCTTTTTGAGTTTGAATACAATTATTTTGGATTGATTGATTTAATGTAGCATTCTCCCCAAAATATATATATATATATATTATTCATCCAAAAGATTTATTATAGAATCCTATAAATTTATCTATTTAAAAACCGATAGAGAAATTTGTTTGTTCTGTCAAAGAGAAATTTTACTATTTAATGTTAAATTAAGAGTTCAACGTTAAATTAATATTATTGTACTTCACAGATATTGATTTAATTGATACTATAAAGTTGTAATTCAGAACAAACAGAAATTTTATTGAAACAAGTTAGTGAAATTTTACTAACATAACTCAGTGAAATCTCACTAAGTTAAAAAACAAAAAAATGAAATGAAAAAAATGAAAGTTCACTAATATATTTTTTTAGTATAGTTGGGGTATTTTAATAAAAATAAATTATATTTAATACATTTAATATATTCAATTAGAAGCTTATTGCATATTAATATTCCATATAAATACAATTCATTATATGGTTTAATTATATAACTGTTTTAATATTTATGGTGATTAATTCTATTGATTATGTAACTCCTTTATAAATCCATCGTATTTTACAATATATATCGGAGAAGGATTGTTATAGAGAATAAGAGAGAACAAAATATGATTTGTTGAGAGTATTCTCTCTATATATATATATATATATTGTTTATGTTTTGGGCAATTTTAGTTCGTTTGCATGATTCAAACCTTTTAGTGGTCATGAACATGAACACTTGGATGAGGAACACTATGAGACACATAAGTTTTATCTTGGAATTGGTTCACTTTGGTTGTACCTTCACGAGAGGAGAAAAAACAGTTTTAAATAAGTGACAACACGACTTCCAAAGTCTTATAACTATGTTTTCCTACTATTGATTTTGTCTATATATATGTATATTGTTTATTGTCATTGTTATTATATTATTCATGATAATTATTCAGTTTATTATTTTGATAGGCTAACAATCTAAAATTGTTTTTACCTCTAAATTACTGATAGATCTAGCAATATGAATACATGTCTCTCAATGCATCACATGTCAGATTCCAAGTTTCATGTTATTGAGTTATTTTATAGGGTGCTTCGGGAAAAAGTCCAATTTTTAATTTTGTTTAGCCAAAAATCCAGACGCTAGAACTACCGTAGCACCTATTCCTCTTCCTTCTTCTTCAAGCCTTCGGTGGCAGCGGATGACGGAGGAAGAGAACTATAATACCACCACATCTCTCTCCTCTTTGTTTTTCCTTGCTTCTCTTCTTTATGGTAAGGTCGAAAGTCACCTCTACCATGTGAGCTCTAGCCCGATGAATTTGATTTCCAACTTCTTCTCTGAGAATGATCATCTGTTTCTCTTCTCGTAGCAACGACAATGCTTGACTCTCCACGTGGTGATACTCACCGTTGTCGCACCTCCTTCTACGGCAGTGCTGCCAAACTGCTTACTATTGGATCTCACATTTCATATGTCGATTCACTGAGATTTGTTTTCAAATCAACGATGAAGATGTTGATTCACTAAGATCTGTTGTGTTTTGGACAGATATATGTATGTATGTATGTATGTATGTATGTATGTATGTATTTGTTGTCCAGTTGTATTTAGACAAACTTATATGATTGATACATACATATATATATATATGTATGTATATCTATAAGTGTGTGTATCTATGTATTAAGGGTGCTCAGCAGATATTCTGATCCGCTTGAACCAATCGAACCGAACCAATCCGATCCGCCACATTTTGAACGGATGCGTGATGACAAGCAGACAGTTGTTGATTGATTTTTTTCAATCCGTCTAGTTTTGGATGAACGGTGGATTTGAGATTTCTTTGGCCGCAACCGAACTTCCAAACTGCAAGCACCCCTCGTAATTTGTAAGATTTTGTGTTTTATGTTTAGATATTTTGTTTGTGTTTTCAATTGAAAAAGAATTTAGATATTCTGTTGTGTTTTCAATTTGGAATCCTTTTATCAAATGGCAGGTGCTGACATTTGATATTTTTGTATGGAAAATATAAGGCTTAATGTTGTCATTTTTCTTAAAAATCAAATTAAATAGTTTTTGAATAAAAAAAAGAAACGAAATAGTTTTGATAATGCATGGTTTTCTTATATGTATTTATTATTGATATTTAACAATTTAGTTGATAATCTTTTGGTTATGTTAAGTTGAATTATTATCCACAAAAAAAGTTAACAAGTTGATACATTTTGTTCAAAATTTGTAAAATTTTAAACCGTCAAACCGATTCACATCCATCCGCTAATCTGCCCATCCAATCAATTTGCGTCCGCTAATCTGGCGGACGGATGTGGATTGATTTTTTTGCAATCCGGCGAACGAATGACGGATTAGAGGTTTCCTAGCCGTAACCGAATTGCGGACATCCCTATTACGTATATCTTGAGTATATATATATATATCTGTGAGTGTATGTATGTACATCTCTGTGTGTGTATGTATGAGACAGATTTGGAAAAAAAAATTAATATTGATAATGATGATTGCAACATAGAAACAAAAAAGTTGACATATATTTCAACAGATAGAAACAAAAATTGAGCAGAAAGATAGAATTTAGGAAAATAATTGAATAGATAGATAGAATTTATGTGAAAAAATTGAACAGATAGTCAAAAAAATTGAACAGATAGATATAAAATTGAGCATATATATAGAATTTATGGGAAAAATTGAATAGATAAATATAAAACTGAACAAATAAATAGAATTTAAGGAAAAAATTGAACAGATAGATAGAATTAGGAGAAAACTTGAACAGATAGTTAAAATTTTTGAACAAATAGATATAAATTTGAACAAATAAATAAAAAATTTGAACAGATAGATATAAATTTGAACAAATAGTCAACGAAAAGTTAAATAGATAAAAAAAGGTCAAGAGGTAAAATTGGAACCAAAATGTCTTCTAGGACTTCTCATTAGATTATTTTACAAAATGCGAATTTCTCACTAACAAAAATATTTACTGAACCTAATGCCTTACACCTTCCTTATATTGGATTTATTACAAATTTTCACTATTTTATATTCTTTAGATTGAGATGCTTATTATTTTATTGGGTTAATCTGTGTATGTAATTTCTTAGTCATTAGTACAATTTTGTTGTAGTAATTCCGATGATCTAAAGTAGTTGTGCTTTAAAAAAAGGTTTCTAAAAGTTATTAGTTATGATTGTGTCTCTCTTTATAAATAAGAAATCATATATGGTGATGTAAGAAGGATAAAAATATCCTAATCCTTCTAATTGTTTGGTTACATTGGATTGTTTGATCTGTATAAATTTGTAATTGTTATTGTTCATAATTTTTAAAGTAGTAACTAGCAAAACGAAGTTTAATACAAATTATTTTGGAACTGTTAAAAAGTTTAGAGTACATCATAAATTTTGTAATTAGTGAATTAAAGATTATTGGCCTTGTTAATGTGAGTTGGATAGAAAAATAATTAAGGCCTGGTTTGTCATCTCCTAAAAAAGTCAAAAAGTCGCTATTATATTTAAGTCATATCATCTTATTTAAGTCACATCACCTCTCTACCACATCACTTCAAACCTAACCCATACCAAACTCATATTTCTTAACAAGTCAAAAAGTACACTTATTTAGAACATCCTAAACAATTGCAACATATATTTTATTCATGGTATTAATAATTTGTTAATTTAATGTTGTATAAGTTACATGAAAACATGAGTAAGTTCATTATCGTCATCTAATTAGAACTGTTGAATTTTAATGTATTAGATGTTATTATATTGTTCTGATCATCTTTCTCTTATGGATATATTATGAGTTTAGGTGGATCTGGAATAGATTTTTTGTAGTAAAAAAGAAAAGTTTCTTTCATTATAATAAAAATAGTTTCTAACTGTAACAGTTATGTTTTTAGAAATATTATTTTTTATATAGTTTAAAAAAATTTGTAACCGAAAGGAATTAAAATTCTTGATCTTGTGGATTTTAAAACCAATTGACAACAGTTTTTGTATTCAATTTTTTATTTTAATAATTTAGGTATTTACTACATCATAATTGGTAGTGATTGACTACTTTAGTACCTTAAAAGATTACTACTGGTATGTTTTGGAGTCCCCTATTGATTCTTTAGTTGTTTATACTCAATTTGTAACGCCCCATATTTCAGAACTCAATTAATATTACCAAATTCATTATCATGATCCGTTTTCAATTAAAAGATATGGAAGCTATAATCTTTAACACCAATAAACTTATCTATAGATGTAGAAGTTCCCTCTCATTTATACAAATGGTACAACAATAATTACAATTGAATATAACTGCTGTAGACACTCCATTTTCGACGGCCCTTACGACTTGGACGTCATCGCATGCACACCCAATGATGAGTTTATTTGGTCGTCAACTGTTTGAAATCCTCAACGGAATGCCACAGCTTTGAGCCCTTCAAACCCTACACCCAGTTACCTCATTCTTGGACCAACCCTTGGTTTTTCAAGCCTGCAGCTTTTGGTTTTGGGCTGCCGGCCATCACTCTTGGTTACCAGCCACTGATGTGGCCTGCCGGCCACCAGTGATAGCCGACCGGCCACTAGTTTCTTTTGCAAATATTTTGAGACAGCTGTGCCAGCTCTTTGCACAGATGCATGCATCTGCCCCCACGTGTAGGGCTAGATGTTCTTGAGGAGAATTCATGTTTTCTATATATAGAGGGCCTCTCTCTCATGTTTGAAGGTTGGAAACAATTTAGAGCACAATTTTTCCTCTCTCTTTAGCAAATTCCTACATTTTTGCGTATACACTCTTAACCTTTGCCTATACACCCTTAACCAAACCTTTCATCTTTGAGCTGAGGTGTCTTTGAGGCTTGTTTGAGCTCTTGAGGGTGTTGTTTGCTTGGTTTTGTTGCTTGGAATTAATTTCCTCTTCAAAAGGTATAAGGCTTTACCTATTTGCTTGCTTTAACTACTCTTTTTCTTGCAATTTTCCAAGTGTTTTTGGGCTATAAAACTTTTGTATTTTTGGGATGAAACTTGGGTTTTAAGGCCATTAAAGGTTGAGGGGTGTTCCATCCTTCTTTGTACCTTGCTTTGAAAACCTTTTCCTTTATGTTTCCCACCCTTTTACTATCTGTTTTTGAGCTTTTAAACACTGATTTTCAGAGTTATTTCAATGGCCAAAATCATGTTTTGAAGTCCAAATTTGGAGGGGTTAGCCTCCCCTCCTTGTGTCTTGCTTACTAGCCTAGCTTGTGCCATGTTTTAGCATATTAATCTAGCCTTTTTTTGTCTTAATTCCAGCATATTTTAGGACTTATTTTAGACTATTTTAGCAATGTTTTGGGTTGATAGTTGCATTTGAGCTTTATTTTGCATGCTTGTAGTGTAATTGTTCTCATAAGTTTGGTGTTCTAGGCCTTAGACACTATCTTGTTTGAGTTGATTGCATTTATTTATGGCTTTTCATACTTGTAATCACACTTAATCATCTCTGCAACCTCCCTCATTTCTTGGCTTTTGTTTTGCTTTGAAAGTGGTTCAAACAACTTGTTTGTTTAAGCATGAGATTGAGGTGTCATGCTTAATGGATTAATCCCTTAGGAGGTTCATTACCAATGGTATAATGTCTCTTTCATGCCCAAGACAACACTTGGTTTGAGCCATCTTTCCATTAGAGGACTTAAACTCACCATTTGGGCTCAATTAATTAAAGAATGGTTGGTCAACTAAAATGAAGTAATTAAAATGGGACTAAAATGGTGCAAGATAATAAAAGTGTTGTGTTCAATCGAACGCTAATTGAACACATGGAAGCTTGAGGCATTTCATACTCATTAGTGATGAAATGATTCAAGTTTCCAATGGTCACTACTTCCCTTGATCTTCAATGATAGGGATGTGGTTTTGAGAGTCTCATTGCATTGCATTTATTAAACTTGCACACTTTGGTTCATATGCCATCATGAAATGAAATTGCTTGAGTTAATGGTTTATGAACCAAGCTTGCTACTCCTTTGATTTGTTCATGAAAATGAGGGGTGAATTGTACAAACAAACCTTTGAACCCTGTACATGCTTTGTTTGTTCTCTATTGCAGCAAGGTGAACCCTGTAGCAATGGCCGGCAGGCCCTCATCACTGGCTGGCTGGCCACTGATGCAAAATTCAACAATGTGTTTTTTAGGCAAAACAGAGTTATTCTGGAAGTGGGCAACAGTGTATGTGTTCTTTGTGCAACAGAGGCTCTCTGGAAACAAAACAGTGGCCTTTTCGGGTGGAAACCAAGCATGCGCATAAACATCCCTCGTTTCTCGAGGCAAAATAATTAGCCTAGTACTTAATTATTTAGATTACTTACTTCTTTTAATTGCACTTGTGTTGTAATTATTTAATTAGTTAAAGTAGTTAGTTAGTTGTGATGTTGTAATCATTAATTAACTAGAATAGTTAGTTAATTCATGTTCTGTTATAATAATTAGTTAAGTAGTTTAGCTATTTATTCATTTTGTTTTGTAATAGTTGATTAATTAGCTTAGTTTTAATTAGTTAGCTAGTTAGTTTATTCAGACTCTCCTTCGTAAGAGCACAATGTTGTAATAACGTGTATGTCTTCTAACCCCACGTCTTTCTCCTTTTTATTTACTAGCTTATGATGGTTAGTATAGGAACATCATGTTTTGTTTAGCATACTTCATATTTGCATCCATTTGTATTGCATGCACTGGGACTCGGTTCATCATTCTAACTTGCATTGTTAGTTTAAACATCCTTTGAATACGTGCTTAGACCACATGCTATTTAATTGATTTATATGCAATATTAGTAGCTGAGCCTGTTAGTTGCATTTTTGCATGTATCGCATTAGTTACGTCGCATAGTTAGGAATCGTGCATTTTTCTAACTCATTTCTCTTTTGGCTTGGAGTACTAGGTAAGCCTTTACTTGCTTTAGCATGATTGCATGAGTGTGATTGTTGCCATGTTTAGCATGCTTGCCATGAGGCTAATTGCTTAAATGGTAAACTGCTTGAATGCCTGTGGATGAAGGGTTGTTGCTTGAATTGGAATAATTTGAGTAATGTTTATATAAGATCACTTTTTCAAGTGGTACATATTTCGAAATAATTTTCAAAAACAAACATGAATCGAAGTGTTCCAATTCTTACAAGTTAGTCTAGACTTATGTGTGTGCATATCACATAGTAATGCTAGCCTAATAAACCGGAACAAGAGGATATCATGTAAATAAAATCCATATCATGATTAGTAGAGGCCGATCTTTGATCGGGGGAGCAGGGGTGCTCAATTCATGACCTTCTTCTCTCGTACCCAAGTTCCTAAGCCGAGACAATCTTGGTGATGACGGACACGTGGCCTTTAGCACAAGTCATGGGTTTCCTAAATTTTCCCAAAAGAAAATATTTAGTTAGGGACTCTGTATCTGGCAAAGTAGTCAATTTTTGGCAATTTGATTCAAAATCGATTTTCCAAAATATTTTTCAGATTTGGACTATTTGGTGATTATCTATTTCGGATAGCACTTGTGGAATCAGATTCAGAACTGTGGGAGTCCGATATTGTAGGGCTTATTTCGACTTTCGAAAGGGGGCGTGAAGAAGTCGAGCTACAACTGCCCTTAGGCTTACAATCACATGAAATAAAAGGGCTTGACCCTTAGTAAAAGACATTTGTGTGCCTAAGTATGAAATTGAGGTTTCATACTTAATGATTTAATCCCTTAGGGGGTTCATTACCAACGGTATGAGACTTCTTTCATACCCAAAGCAACTTGTGTTTTGAGCCCTCTTTCCATTAGAGGACTTTAATTCACCATTTGGACTTAATTGGATTAAAGAATGGTTGGTAAGTTAAAATGAGTAACTAAAACCTGGGACTAAAAGATGAGCAAGATAATAACTTGGTATGTTCAATCGGACGCTAATTGAACGCATGGAACTTGGACCATTTCATACTTGATAGTGATGAAATGATCCAAGTCTCCAAAGTCAACTTTTTTCCTTGATCTTTCATGAAAGTGAGCAGGTTTGTGTCTTATTTTTACATTTATTGAACTTGCATATCTTGAATCATAAGCCATCATGCAATGAAATTGCTTAAATTGGTGGTTTGTGGCTTAAGTTCATAACTCCTTGGATTTGTTCATGAAAATGAGGGGTGAATTGTACAAACAAACCTTTGAACCCTGTACATGCTTTGTTTGTTCTCTATTGCAGCAAGGTGAACCCTGTAGCAATGGCCGGCAGGCCCTCATCACTGGCTGGCTGGCCACTGATGCAAAATTCAACAATGTGTTTTTTAGGCAAAACAGAGTTATTCTGGAAGTGGGCAACAGTGTATGTGTTCTTTGTGCAACAGAGGCTCTCTGGAAACAAAACAGTGGCCTTTTCGGGTGGAAACCAAGCATGCGCATAAACATCCCTCGTTTCTCGAGGCAAAATAATTAGCCTAGTACTTAATTATTTAGATTACTTACTTCTTTTAATTGCACTTGTGTTGTAATTATTTAATTAGTTAAAGTAGTTAGTTAGTTGTGATGTTGTAATCATTAATTAACTAGAATAGTTAGTTAATTCATGTTCTGTTATAATAATTAGTTAAGTAGTTTAGTTATTTATTCATTTTGTTTTGTAATAGTTGATTAATTAGCTTAGTTTTAATTAGTTAGCTAGTTAGTTTATTCAGACTCTCCTTCGTAAGAGCGCAATGTTGTAATAACGTGTATGTCTTCTAACCCCACGTCTTTCTCCCTTTTATTTACTAGCTTATGATGGTTAGTATAGTAACATCATGTTTTGTTTAGCATACTTCATATTTACATCCATTTGTATTGCATGCACGGGGACTCGGTTCATCATTCTAACTTGCATTGTTAGTTTAAACATCCTTTGAATACGTGCTTAGACCGCATGCTATATAATTGATTCATATGCCATATTAGTAGCTGAGCCTGTTAGTTACATTTTTGCATGCATCGCATTAGTTACGTCGCATAGTTAGGAATCGTGCATTTTTCTAACTCATTTCTCTTTTGACTTGGAGTACTAGGTAAGCCTTTACTTGCTTTAGCATGATTGCATGAGTGTGATTGTTGCCATGTTTAGCATACTTGCCATGAGTCTAATTGCTTAAATGATAAACTGCTTGAATGCCTGTGGATGAAGGCTTGTTGCTTGAATTGGAATAATTTGAGTAATGTTTATATGAGATCACTTTTTCAAGTGGTACATATTTCGAAACAATTTTCAAAAACAAACATGAATCGAAGTGTTCCAATTCTTACAAGTTAGTCTAGACTTAGATGTGTGTGCGTATCACATAGTAATGCTAGCCTAATAAACTGGAACAAGAGAATATCATGTAAATAAAATCCATATCATGATTAGTAGAGGCCGATCTTTGATCGGGGGAGTAGGGGTGCTCAATTCATAACCTTCTTCTCTCGTACCCAAGTTCCTAAGCCTAGACAATCTTGGTGATGACGGACACATGGCCTTTAGCACAAGTCATGGGTTTCCTAAATTTTCCCAAAACAAAATATTTAGGTAAGGACTCTGTATCTGGTAAAGTAGTCCATTTTTGGCAATTTGATTCAAAATCAATTTTCCAAAAGATTTTTCAGATTTGGACTCTTTAGTGATTATCTATTTCGGATTGCACTTATGGAATCAGATTCAGAACTGTGGGAGTCCGATACTGTAGGGCTTATTTCGACTTTCGAAAGGGGGCATGAAAAAGTCGAGCTACAACTGCCCTTAGGCTTACAATCACATGAAATAAAAGGGCTTGACCCTTAGTAAACACAACGGTGTTTTCCCTACTTAATCTAGCCTTTTTTTGTCTTAAGAAAGCAGAATGTGCTTCTCAACTCCAAATAATTCTCCATCTCTGCACCTGAAAATTTTTCAAAAACATGGGATGAACATATAATTCAGTAGGGATTTTAATAATTTCAATTAATATAATACATTATATGTATATGATCATGAATACTCCATATAATATGTATATCAATAGTGTTCAACTTTTTTATATTCAAAACATATATATATAGGGTACTTTTCCCAAAATGTCTTTCGTTACCATTCCAAAAAAGCAATTAAAACCTTTAGTCTTCCATTTCATTTCACATGATGGTTTCAAGAACTTAATCACTCTTGAGTTTTGAAAACCTTTTCCAAAATATTCTCAAGTTAATAAGATGAAACAACTAAAATAACCCTATGATTATACCATGACGTGGGATACTACAACCATTTGAATTATGAGTAGCTCTCAACAAATCAACACGCTAAACGACTCTACTAGAATCACTACGACACACTGCAATTTACAATGCTTTGAAGACATCTACCATATTTTATGGCCATAAGCGAAAGGGCAAATGGTGCACCCATCAAAATACAATTCCGAGGTGAATAACGGTAATACCAACACCACTCTCATGTTTTACAGGCCACTGGCACGGAAGACAAATAGTGCACCCCTCATATCATAACACATAGATGTAATTAAACAACATAGTACTATCACATATAACAACCCAGCTTCACCAAATCATAACTGTCCACTTTACCAGGCACTAGCTGAAGAGAACTTGGAACCCATCATTGGAAGCGCAAACCACTTTACCAAGCGATAGCTGAAGAGAACTTGGGACATATCATTCAAAGCGCAAACCACTTTACCAGGTGCTAACCGGAAGCAACTTGGGACCTCAATATAACACTTTTATCCATATACTCAACATAATCATATCACTTTCATTCACATACTAACTCGCAAAATTTAGTAACACATATGGTTTCAATTTGCCTAGTTTCATATCTATTCTACAACAAGCAGTGCAATCCTCTACCAATTGCCAAAACTGATATCTTTAAAACATTACATAAATAACGTGTAATTCAACCAACCACATATTATCTATCACAATTCTCAATACAAGTGAAATAAAATTTATAGTTTCGTCAATAACACATTAATTATTACACCTCCAAAACTAAGCATAATTTTCAACGCTTTTAGTCTAATTGTGTATTACAATTACCCTTCTCATTTTCTCAAGTTACTTAGACATTAGCAACAACACCTATTTCCATCACTTAATGTCATTTCCTCTAATACTCAATAATTATAACCTTAGCCCATTTCCCAATTTAATTTCTCAAATTGTCATGTTACCCAATATTTATCGCTAACCCTTCTCTTCAATTACCCTATCTCATTATTCTTAACCATTAACAACTAGCCTTAAATAAATTATCACATTTCATTTATCACCATTCCAACCCATTTAATCATCAATTTCATAATTAAACAACAATAGCTATATTCTATCTCATGAAATCATT